TTCAGCTGTAATAGGCATGCCAACTTGATGCTCTGCTCACGGATGACTCGATGAGCATAAACAACAGTTAAGATGATGACCTTACGTGTGTAAATATATTTTTTTCTTTGAAAAAAACAGTTTTTTAAAAAAAAACAGTTTTAAGTCCTGAGAAAGTCAAATAAGACGGTGTGTAAAACTGCACTGCCCAGCCAAAAAAAAGTAACCACTTTGATTTAACTAGGCCAGTAGGTAAGGGAATTCCACTGGATAATAATACCCCTGCATTATAGCAACAACAACAATAATAATAGCAATAATAATTGGGAGGGGGGGCGCGGCTGTTCTTATGTTCTCTGAGGGGAGGCTCACCTTCCCACACTTTGAAAACCCCTGCTTTAGATAATGTTGTAATAATGTCACTTTTTGGTTTCCCCCTGCCTATAGTGTGTTATATAGGTTTGTGTGCATGTAAATGGTCTGCAAAAGCTCAAATCCCTGTGTTCCCTCCAGAGTGTGTTTCTCTCCGACCGACTCCCCCCCATCCTGCCTGAAACTCATCCATTGGACTCTTTCTTTACTTCAGTAATATGGTGACATCACTATGTAACGCTCACGCTTCTATTGGCTAGCACTCCAACACATTGTACCTGATAGGCTAAGGGGCGGGACATCCCTGTCTCCTCTTGCTGGTTCAGTTTGACTGAATACACCTGCGCTTATTCAGATACACAAATCCATATTCAAATCAGTTTTTCCTGCAGAATGAAAGAGGAGGAGGATCCAGATGAACCAAACAAAACACATGTCACGCTCAATACATGCAGAGAGAGGATTTAAATATTAGTCGAGTAGTTGTAAAAAATCATACCTACTGAATATCGTACCTATCATAAATCCTTGGGTATTATTAGGGATGCACGATATTGGTTTTTTGAAACCGATACCGATAACTTCCTGCTTCTCAAGACCGATACCGATAACCGATAATAATATAATATATATATTAAATGTACCTGTAGTTTTTGCACACCTGGTGGTAAAAAAAAGACTAGTAGTGAGCAAATGACATGAGCATTACTACTATGAACAAAACAAAGCCAAGAACAGTTTTGACTCTTCAAAGTGACCATATTTATTTTCCCAAATAAAGTGCCTTTTTCAAAAGCCTCGTCGATAGGTAAAAGCCCCGGTGCCTTTGCAGCTGGCTTTGGATTCCCCGCTAGTTTAGCAGCGCAGGCGTCTTCGTACGCTTTTAACACACCATCGTAGCGATGTTTCAGGTGACTAATCAGGTTGGAAGTATTATAGCTCGTTGCCTTTTTCCCTCCCCGTGGAACTTCTGCATTGCATTTGTTAATTCAAATAGCAAGCGAACTATCTAACTCTGAAACTTTGAAATAGTCCCATACTACCGGCGACATGTTTGTTTACTGTCCTAGCTTCACGGCCGCACACCATTTACGTCACAGCCAGGCATGAGTTAGGGAGCGCTGGATTTGTGAAGAACTCCCCTCTTCCTAAACCACTAATACCACAGTACTGGCAAAACGGGAGGAGCCGAGGGAAAAACAAGCGCCCCTCATCCCAATCCACCCACACCGCAGTATTTTTATTTATTTTTTACCCAAAAAATATATTGTATATTATCGGGGCTATTAATACTTTTATCGGGTTTATCGGGATGACGTCATAATTCCTAATATCGGACCACTAGTTATTATGGTGGAATTGAGTTGTATATTTATCTAGTTTTTTCATTAGTTGTTCTTCATTCACAACTCTGGCAACTGCTTGATATTTACAATGCTAAAAGAGATCCAGACAGTTTTGTTGTTAAATAAATTACAATCTAATTCAGATTTGCCTTATTCCCAAATATTGTATTAGTATTGGACCATAGTAGTTGTTTCACAGATGCTATACAAATATTTTATGTTCAGATGAAAACTCTAAGGGGAAGCTTTAATGAGGCCTTTTGGGGTTTTAACTCTCCTGTTGTGTTCTATATAGGCTTGTTTTGTGCATGTCAGTGGTTTACAAAGGCTAAAGAATGAGTTTCTCCCCCCCCCCTGCCTGAAACACCTCCATTGGACTCCTTTGCTTACTTCCTGAACTCAGTGACATCACTATTTAACACTAGCACTTCTATTGGCTAGCACTCCAACACGTTGTACGTGATAGGCTAAGGGGCGGGACATCTCTAAGTGGTTGACCAATCCCAACAGAGCCGGCCAGCTAACCAATCAGAGCAGACTGGGCTCTGGTTTCAGACAGAGGGTGAAAAGAGGTGCTGCAATATTAAAGAATGGAGATATGTCCCAGGAGAGACACTACATACTGATATACACCTGACCATCAGCAGGAGAGGACTCTTTAAAGTAGAGACACTACATACTGATATACACCTGAACATCAGCAGGAGAGGACTCTTTAAAGTAGAGACACTACATACTGATATACACCTGAACATCAGCTGGAGAGGACTCTTTAAAGTAGAGACACTACATACTGATATACACCTGAACATCAGCAGGAGAGGACTCTTTAAAGTAGAGACACTACATACTGATATACACCTGAACATCAGCAGGAGAGGACTCTTTAAAGTAGAGACACTACATTACTGATATACAACCTGACCATCAGCAGGGAGAGGACTCTTTAAAGTAGAGACACTACATACTGATATACACCTGAACATCAGCAGGAGAGGACTCTTTAAAGAAGAGACACTACATACTGATATACACCTGACCATCAGCAGGAGAGGACTCTTTAAAGTAGAGACACTATATACTGATATACACCTGAACATCAGCAGGAGAGGACTCTTTAAAGTAGAGACACTACATACTGATATACACCTGACCATCAGCAGGAGAGGACTCTTTAAAGTAGAGACACTATATACTGATATACACCTGACCATCAGCAGGAGAGGACTCTTTAAAGTAGAGACACTACATACTGATATACACCTGACCATCAGCAGGAGAGGACTCTTTAAAGTAGAGACACTATATACTGATATGAAGCTGAAAATGAGCAGAGTATGTCCTCTTTAAGGCACAGCAGTATTTCTGTGACCTGTAAACTCTCTACATGGTCAGATTATTAAACCTGCTGAAGTTACAGCGCCCTGGTGCACTGATCTGCTCTCAGACCAAAATAATAAACCGGTGGACTGGGAGAACGCCAGAAAAGGAGATCAGTCCACCTTCAGTGATACTGTCAGTTTATGGTGTGAACGCAGAGATCATGAAGCACAGCTCTGTCTGAGAGCAGATACCTGAGCTTTAGCATCAAATCAAAACAAAAGCTACAAAGAAATCTGCTAAACATGAAGTGTGCAGGAAACTGTATTATATATGCTTGTGCAAATCATGCAGTACTTAATAGTATTTACATTGTGTTCCTCACCACGTGTTAAACTAGTTCAACAAGTGAAGGGGAAGTGTGTGTCATATACTGTAGAACAAACACATGTATTTACATAATGTACCAAAAGGCACTAGGGCTGCACAATTAATAGACATGTTATCAACATTGCAATATGGACAAGTGCTCTTTTCAAACACAGTAAGAACAATAAGGTGTCCATTTATAATAATTAATATCATGGTGAAATGTTCCTTTACAAATATATGCTTTCAGGGCTGAAACAAGAGCATTTGCAAGAACAAATAATGGATTGTTTGCCTATGTCCTGATGGGATGTAATGTAATAATGTTGAAATGTGCCTTCAATTATTGATTTTCTACAAAGATCTATATTCTTAGTGGAGCTTTTAATAATATATAATATTGTAATAGCATGTATCAGACCACAGAAGGCCAACAAAGTAAAGAAAAATATCAGTTATAAAGTTCCAGAGTCTTTTAAAGGACAATGAGTTCACAGTAAAGAGAGTGTGTGGATTTAAGTCCATTGAAACCTTAAAAGGAAAGTCCTCCAAACACTTATAATAATTACAACTGATATTCCTGGCTAGTACGTGTACTTTATTTAGTTATTATGTTGTTCTACTATTAAACGTGATATGTACCGCCCCCTTTGCTGTAACAATGAAGATTTAAGTGCATGTAAAACAGACTTAACATCATGATACAATACACTATTAAACTTACGGGACACTGAGTTCACGGTGAAGAGTGTGTGTGTAGACTTATGTAAAACACACTAGAATGTCAACTGTCCACATAAGATGTTGGAATGTGCTTTAATTATTGACTTAATGGTCTAAAACAACAGATGTAGATAATTAGTGAAGCTTTTACATACAAAATTATAATATAATAATAATAATAATAAGGATTTTAAGAAGTGTTCAGGCTACAGAAGGCCAACAAAGTAAGGACATATGTAAAAATTATTAAATATTTACAGTATTAAGTATTTAAGTGCATGTAAAACAGACTTAATATCATGAGGATCCTTTTGTTTCTATCTTCTTATGGGATTTAATGTAGTAATGTTAAAATGTGCCTTTCATTATTCACTTTATGGTCTAAAACAACAGGTCCAGATTCTGAATGGAGTTTTAGGTCAAATAAAGGGATTTTAAGTAGCATTAGGCTACAGAAGGCCAACAAAGTAAATCAAATCTATATTACAAAAAATATAAATAGATTTAAATGCATTTGAAAAATCATTTTAAAGTCAAATGTCCATTTATAATAATCATTTTCATCTTGAGATAGTAGAATATCATTAGAAGGATAAAACAAGTCTCCTTACGTCATCTAATCTAGTGTAATAATGTTAAAATATGGCTTTAATTATTGACTTTCTGGTGCAAAACACCAAATATGAAATGTGCCTTTAATAGACCTGTATAAAACAACCCATTTAGAGTGTTTACATGAATAGACAACTGGGTTCTGACTGTTATGACATGTGACACCGACTCAATATTAAAGCAAATGTGTAGCGACATATAAAGTACATTGTGTGTGAACATCTCCACAGTAAACAGTGCATGGGGATCACCACAGGGTGCACGCGGACAGCCACTCACCCCAGGGTGCTGATGAAGCCGTTCACCGTGCCCTCTGCGTACAGGGACACGATATCCCCGATGTGCAGGAAACTGGAGGCAGAGTCAGACATCCTGAGCTGATCCTGGATCCGCGCACACACTCAAGTTCAAAGTGTCTCCCCTGTCCTCTCGCCTTCTCTCTCCGTGAGAAAACTACAGAAACTAGAACCTCTTCATGCAGCTGGAGGCTTCAACTATTCGCATTCAACCTGTGTTCTCAGTCCGCCTTCACACACTCACTGCCGGGTTCTGCATGAAAGCAAACATGGAGAAAAACTCTGTAAAAAGTTCCCAAAACATTCAAACAGCGGCTCCAGAGAGGCGGGTACAGCGGAGGGATCCTGCACAGAGACTGCACATATCCCGAAAGTGTCGTAGAAATCCTCAATGTGAGTTTGCACACAGACACACACACGCACTCAGAGAGAAGTGTAGATACAAGACGACTTCACTGTTCCCTCCCTCTCTGTCAGTGTGTGTGTGAGTGTGTATCGAAGACTGCTAGAAACCAGGAAGTGAGCCGAGGTGTTGATAAGGCTGACAGACAGCTTCAAGAAAGTAAAACCGCCTCAGGGCCAAACACACACACACACACACACACACACACACACTCATGCACACACACACTCATGCACGGGCAAGCCCCTAAGGCACGTGCACGAGTACACACGCCCCCCTACCTAAATAACCCAAAAACCACAAACTAAGTGACATTTCCAGAAATGAAACAGATATAAAGATTATATTTTAAAAGGTGCAAAGTTCGTTCAGTTGATGTTTGACCTTGACAATAGAAGACAAATTAAATCTTGCCTCAAAGTCGCTTTACATGCTTTTCCCTGAGCTTTTCACTCACAGATTTCATCGTTGGGTGGAATTTATAGCAGAAAATAACATATTATGATTTTCTAGATTACTCCTCTGGTCCATATACTGTTAGAAAACTTTATTACACACATTTTGTATTTGTTGTTCGACATATCGTAAGAGTTCAAGTGGAGTTTGCTGCTTTTTCCCCGGAGCTTTCAACCAAATCTAATCTGAAGATCTGGCCCTTTATCTGCAACTCTCACGTTTTACATGAGTTTTAGATCTAAGCAAACTGACAAAAAGAATACTTGACAATCTTAAAACAAGAGTTGCTTCTTGATTTTTTTCCATTTATTCTTTGTTTCTGATATTTAGCATCTGTGGTGTTAAAGGTACCATGTGTGTTGACCACTAGTAGTGTCAATACACATGGTAGTTGTTCTGTTTGTTATGTGCACGAGCTGCAAGATCCTGCTATCGGTGTCATGCTACAGTTGCTGTGTGCAAAGGAATGGATCATTGTGTAAACAAAAAACAATTCAGGAGGGGCCAAAGATGTAAACCATCCTCAGGAACAGCGCAGAGAGATACAGCTAATTTGACCCGGTGGCCAAAGCGTGGAATTACAATTTCTGAGGGTCACACGATGACATGCGGCTCAACAAGACTTTTCCCCGATTGATTCACATTGAAAAAGAGCCGTTTGTAAATCAGCATTACGTCAAACTCTTTTTGACTTACAATAAAGCTTTATAATGTTACGATTTGTTATTTCATTCCTTTTTAAAATTAGTTGTTTTCTTATTTGTTTATGTCTTTTAATAAGTGGATTTGAAAACTTGTCAGAAACTCTGGATTTATTTTTTGTTTGAGGTGCAATATATCTCAGCAGCTTTAAGAGCGTAATTTTGTCCGGAAGTGGCGTAGTGTTGCTCATCTATTGGGATCTGGGATTGGAATTTGACATTTGGAATTGGAATTTAAATTAGAACCTTTACGGCCCGTCCACACGGCGGCGTGCGTTGAAGCTTCAACGCTTCTGCCCATTCACTTTGAATGGAGTGACGTCACACTTTGCCGAACTGCATTGTGGTCGCTTCGCTTTGCTCGCTTCAAAAGTTGAGCATTGTTCAACTTTTGAAGCTTCGACGGAAGCGTCAGCCAATCAAATCATATGCCAGTACAAGCTCTAGCCAATCAAACCGCGTGCTTGTGTGTCCGGGGCGGGAGATTCATGTCATTGGTTGTTGGTCGAGTTTCAGACACGCCCACCGGCAAGCTTCAACGCACGCCGCCGTGTGGACGCTGCGTCAGTTGGAATTAGTGCAGCAGTCCCGCCAGAAAGTTTATGACATACATGAATAATTTACTGTGTACTAACTTATTTTCATACTTTATTATTTAGAAAAATCCCAGAAACATAATTTACATATAAGTATACTCTTTTGCCTTTTATCTGGAAAAGGTTAGTCCGCTGACTCAATGTGTCAAGAAGATCACTGACTTATAATTATATGTGTTGTATTATTAAATATGTTGGATGATTGTAGGATGCATTATTTTATTCATCATTTTATATAATGGAGATTTAAAGTAGTTGGATAAACAAAAAACAATGAGCTGAAACTTTCAATTTATTTAGTTTTAAAGTGAAACTGTTTATATGTCGTCCTCATCTAAAGGCCCAGACACACCAAACGGACACCAAAGAACACGTCCCGACGGAACACGACTGTTGTGTCGCCTCGCGTCTCTGCGTCTTGGCCAACAGTCGCACTGGAACACACCGCAAAGACTTCAGCCGACGGCCAAGTTGCACGCACGAACTGCGCATGCGTGAGTGGCATTAACTCTCCTTACCAGCAGGCGGCGGTAGTGTGTATTCGTCATTCAAAAGAGGCAACAACCGGAAGACAGGCTGCGTGATATAAACAAACAACAAATAGCGTGTGCGTTGGTCTTCGGTTTCTTCATCAGATCGCTATGATGAAAAATAAACTCTTGCGTCCAGCTGAGATGAAAATGAAAAAGAATAGCCGTCTGTGTTTCCCTTCTTAATCGTTTGTTTGGGTCCCTGACTTCCGTTTCGCTTCTCATGCACTGATTCGCTAGCTGAACAGCCAATCAGAGTGATTTATTTGACCGACAGCCTTTGGACGGTTGCCTACCAATTCGACATGTTTTCGGCCAAAAAGGT